GGCTACATTTGGAAATGAGTCAAATGTATGAGCAAACCTGGGGATGCCTGGAATGAAAAGCAAGTGAGGCTAAGAGGGTCCAAAACATAAAGGCCTCGAGGTGGGAGCACAACTGAGGAAAAATGCTAGAGAGATCTAAGTGAAGGAGAACAAGGCAGGAAACGGGATCAGAGAGGTAGGCAGAACCAGATAATGAATGACCCTGTAGGCAATGGTCAGCAATTTAAGTATTATTTAGAAACAGATGGGGACCAATGAAGGGTTTGGAGCAGTGGAGTGGCTTGCTCTGACTTAGGTTTTGAAAGGATCACTCTGACTACTCTGTAAAAATATGACCTGTACGTCAGGCAACAGTAGAAGCAGGGAAACCAGCTGGAAGACTATGGCCATCATCCAGGTGAGAAATGATGATAGCTCAGACCAGAGTGGAGAGGGAGGAGGTGGTAAGCAGTGGTCAGAACCCAGGTACATCTGAAGGTAGAACCGACAGGATTCACTGAGGGTTTGGAAGCAGGTGTGAGAAAAAAACAAGAAGGATGACTCCTGGTGAGGTTTCTGGCTGTACCAAAAGGAAGGACAGAGTTGCTGCTTACTGAGATAAGGAAGACTGGGAAGGGGCAGATTGGAGAGGGAAATTAGGAATTCAGTTTTGGACATGTTAAGTGTGAGATGTCTTCTTTTTTTAAATTTTTTTTAAATGTTTATTTTTGAGAGAGAGAGAGAGAGAGAGAGGGAGAGAGAGAGAATGAGCGGGGGAGGGGCAGAGAGAGAGGGAGACACAGAATCCGAAGCCTGCTCCAGGCTCTGAGCCATAAGCCCAGAGCCCAACGTGGGGCACGAACCCACGAACTGTGAGATCATGACCTGAGCCGAAGTTGGGTGCTTAACCAACTAAGCCACCCAGGCACCCCGAGATGCCTTCTTAACGTCCAAGTGGAGATCACCCTTGGTAACTTCAATAGCACTGTGGTTGACTTGATATCCAGGATCAGGGCTGGCAATTCAAATGCCTTCTGGGGCCAGGCAGGAAACATACGTATTGAAATACAATAAGGAGAGGTAGGGGACTGTGGCTGATCAGAGGGTATATGCCCCATCTAAAGGGGAAGCTACTCCTGAGCCCAGTTTAGTGTTGCCATTTGCAATCTGGGCTCAGTATTCCTAGATTTTCCAATTTCTTAACAGAAAGAAGAATCTGGAATAACAACTAAATCTTCGGAAAATAAAAAAAAGTTCCACAACCTACTATATTCTAGAAGTATTCAGTTAAAGTTGTAACTCACTCGTTACATTAGCTGCCTGATGTATATTAATATACATTAATTTATTAACGCATATTGCAAAAAGAGACCATGTTTAGCATTTCTCTAACTTCTTTGACAATAAAATTCTCTTTTTCATGCAACATCAAGGGGAAAGCATTCTTTGGCATACACTGGGAAATGCTGGTTTCTATGTAAAACCTAGATGTCCTAAGCAACTCCTTTATATCCTTTTTGAAAATTTTAGGGCATATATTTCTTGCAGCTTATGAATCATTATTGATCTCTCTCTCTGTTTTTGTCTCTCCCTCTCTGTCTCTCTTGCACACACACATACAGTTAATTTTGTTAGATGTTCTAACATCAAATATCAGTCTGGAATGAAATGTAAATGGAGCATTTACTAACGTCTTCCAACTTGTTAAATACTAAGTGGAGTCTTGACCCTCTTGTGTTGATGAAGAAACACTCAGTGAAATCACAGGGGCAACGAATCACTTCATTTCCTAGCTCCTCTCCCTCCTTCACCTGTTGTGCTACATAATTTTGCCACAGGAAGGATAGCCAATTACTACTATGCACTTGGCAGATGTTCTTTGTTTTACTTATCTCTGAGGAAGGAAGAAGGGAGAGGACAAATAAATCTGGAATGGCAAATCTGTAGTACGAAGACAAGACTAATACCACTGCAGCCTTTAAAAATATTTTGTAGGATATATTAAAATATTTGAGGTGCAAGGCTTGTCTCTGAAGAATTAGAGTGTGTCTTTTGCTTAAAAGAGTTTGCAACACAGTTTAGGAGATCTGTACACAAAAAGATAAACAATATGAAAATATCAAATATTGTCAAAAAGTTCTATAAAAGTTCAGAGAAGGGAGAGGGCAACATGAGGTCACGTGGTCAGTGGAAGTTCACGTGGGCCAGTCCTTGAAGCACAGGGAGGTATCAGGTCAAGATAAGTGTAGTGGGAATATTCCGTGCAGGAAAGACAAGGGCAGAGACAGAGATAAGGCAGTTTTAGGAATGGTGCACACATGAGACTGTACAGAGTAGGAGGACAATGGGACGCTGAGGCTGGATCAGATCTTGGCGGTCATGGGATACCAAGTAAGGAAATCCGACCTTAACTATGTTGGTAAACAAGAGTCTTTAAAGGGTTGTGAGCATAAATCTGCCATGTTAAGGAAATTCAACCTCAGGCCATAAGGGAGACAGCGAGGCCAGAGTACTCTCCAGGATGTTGGGTGGAGGTGATGAGGGTCTGGGCTAGCGAGTGGACAGTGCAAATAGAAAGAAATGATCACATTATAAAGGATGAAATAATCAATAAAATTTGTTCACCTACTGAATGTGGGAGAATCAAAGGAGAAAGGAATGGCTTTGACCCTGGGCCCACAAGAGAATGATTATCCTGACAGCAAACGGGCTTATATGTATTAATTTAAGATGCAGTGGTAAATAAAGGTAGAAATGCCCAATCAATTAATTAGTGATCTAGAACCAGAACTTGGGAATGACAGGCAATGTGCATTAAGGCATCGCTGAATTCTCAGCTATGTGCTAGATCATGTCCTATACGATCCATTTGCATGAATGATGGCCTTCATTTGCATAGATGTCAGTTAAACCAGGAGAATGGTAACATTTAATGAAGACTAATTTATCACACCTCCTCTATGTCCCTTCACTATGAAAACAGCCACACACAAAAAGAGGTGCATATAAAAACCAGTGCCTCATATTACATCACAGGATCACTCGAATTTCCGATTTCCATAAAAACCTGGATGTTAGTAAGTGACTGAGATAAGGAAGAAAAAACAGAACTACAATTGTTCTTTATTCTCTCCCCTGAGAGAGATGAACAAGACACAAAACAGGAGACAGGAAGGAAGCAGAGAAGAAAGTATTTTGGGGAGAATTTGCACTGAGATGAACAAAAACTAAACTCTCCTTAAAGACAACAACCATTTGAACATTGTCTCTTACTTTTCTAAAATTCATTATCAATTTACAGTCACGCTACTTTATTCCCATCATAAAACTTATCATTCACAAGCCAGCCAGGAGTCCCAGATTCTTCCTTTAGACTCCCTCTGCAGCCTCGGGTCTCAGTTTTTCCCTGTTGTTTTGCACGGCGGCCCTGGAGCTCAGGTGCAACAGGCAGATCAACAATGCATGACAGATGTTTCCGCAGCCCTCATCAGTCTTTTCCATTTGCCACAATTCTCCAGGGTGACCTGGGTCGATCCCGTCCTTCCCGCAGCAGCCAGGAAGGCCACACTGCTTAAAATGTCTCTTGGTTGAAATGCCCAGGGCAAGGAAAAAATGGAGAAGCCATAACAAGAAAGGACAGAGAGGCAGGTAAAGGATAAACTGGAATTGCAAACTTAGAAAGCATCTCAACATGTAGTTGCTATTTAATATAAATGTACTTTCATTCATGGTACTTTTGCTTTCTTTTACTATACGAATGCAGTGCAGTAAATGTATAATTGGGTGTAATCACAGATTTAGTTAATGCTATAACTGCTTCTCATGAACAGAACGTAGATGTCCTGTTTGAACTCTATAACGCGGGGCACCAGTGTCAAAAATATCTGCAGCAGAAATATCTGCCTTAGAATCTATGAAAGATACACATGTAAGGAATCTCTGATTCTTACAGATTCCCCATGAATCTCTTGCTAGAAATGGGAGGAGGGGGTGCTGGGAAGGTAGACAGACTGAAAGTTCCCTAAGGGACCCCACTCCCTCAACAGTGCTTCCCCACCATCTAGAAGAATGAATTCACACCTGGATTGGCTATCTCAAGACCCAAGTCTATGCTATGGACCATGAATGAACTCATGTTCATAGTGCTACAAACTAGACAATATACCTTGAACACACAGAATAGGGAGGAAAACTCCTGCAAGAATAATTTACTCAATGAATATCCTTCACAAGGGAAATTTTTATAAACAGTTAACTAAACCTGTTTACTGTGAATTTCCAGTTACACAACAAAAAATCCTATCACAAGATAATGTCATAACGGCAAAGAGCAATACTGAGACATGCGCTGGGCAAAACAGCTGCCTGTTTGGGAAATGAAGAAAATCCATATGGCCGATTCCCCCACAACTTTGGCACATAGAACAGCCACTGACGTGGCAACAAAGTACCTCCGTAAACAAAAACAATGTACAGAATTGGCTCAATGGGATAATTAAATAAGAATTCATTTTCTCTATTGGCTCTAAGCATTACCTGAGCTCTCACTGCTCTTAATTCCCCAATGCTACAATTTTATTTGTATCCTAATTCCTGAATCTGACTGTTAACCAGATTCCACGAAACCCAAACAGAAGTTTGTGCAGGACAGGCCAGTGACAGACTTGTAGGAAGAAGGCCTTTGGCAGGCTCACATCCCTTTCCACCTCCACGAATAGACAGCAGAGCATTTAAGTTCTGAAGCAGTTCCCCCTCTTCAGGTGCCCAGAGAGGAGGAAAGCAGGGCTTCTCCTAGCCACCCTGCCTGTGGTCTACACTCTCAAAAAGGATCCTAAATAACAGAGAAACAAGAACAGGATCTTCATGGCATCATCACGTAGATCTACAGGAAACAGTGAGCCTTCCTGTGGAATAAAAATCTTCACAACAAAATTTCAGGATTAATCAGCAAGCCCACCATATCCTAATGGTACTGTATTTGAATAAGATAACAAAGTGCACTTTGGACCATATTCTCTTACCTGCCGACTGTCCCTATGGGAGGGTGTTGAAGAAGAGGCACTTCTGTGGGTTGGAGTGGATGTTTTATGAGCAGGGGATATGCCCTTCTCGTCTGAACTCATAGCTGCAGTTGGAGTCTAGTTGTATGCGCTTAAGACCATCCCAGTCGTGTCTCCAATTCACAGACAAAGAAGTAGATGAGTTTTCAGCTTCAGTTCCATTTCATGAATCAGGTTTGACTAGAAAACAGAAGGCAAATAGTGAAGGCGTCCAAAATACCTACAAGCAAAAGAAGCAAGAAAACCTCATGTAATTAAAATACAAATACAAAGTCATTATATTTAGGAAAAATTACCAACACGTAGTGAGAGGAAGAACTCTGACACATTAGGAAATACTTCTTCTTCCTCTAGGTTTTACGTGGAGGCTAAAGGTGTTAATATGAAAAAGAAGGCTGTCAACAAGGAAAATGGAAAGAAACCACATGCCAAGGTCATATTCTTCCCTACCATTCTCTTTGTTTTAAAGCAGATTACATGGTCCCTCAGGCCAAAGTACCCAAAGTACGTCAGTTTCTTCCCCTGAAAGTTAAATTTCCATGCCCAATGGATCATAAGAGCTCAGCCCATGTCTGTCTTCAGTTGAGTTCAGCCAAGTCATGTATGTGATGTTAAATCCAACACAAAACAGATACAAAAGGCAAAAAAGGGTTCACACATTTTATGCATTGTGTGATCCAGCATTTAGGAAGGATCAAGAATACACACACTCAGTTATTTGCACCTCAAGATCACAGCACATCTACATATGATTCTCAGCTCAGAAAACAACAAGCTTTCAAGTACCTACAGATTGACAGGCATGTTCTGAAACCGGATAATGCTCAGATTTCCTTCCATTTATCCTCAACCAAGAGCCACTTCATTTTTCACTTGGATTCAAATAAAGAAAGCCTGCATTGTAAGTAGTAGGACCAAAAACTTATGCCTGAAAGAAGCATCGTTCAATTGGCAACACAGGTTGTTAAAAACTAATTTTTTAGGGGAGCCTGGGTGGCTAAGTTGGTTGAGTGTCTGACTATTGATCTCTGCCTAGGGCATGATCCCAGGGTCATGGGATCAAGCCCTGCATCAGGCTCTGCACTGAGCATGGAGCCTGCTTAAGATTCTCTCTCTCCCTCTGTCCCTTTCCCCTGTTCACACACTCTCTCTCTAAAATTAAAAAAAAGGGGGGGGGGGCGCCTTGGTGATTCTGTCGGTTAAGTGACTGACTTTGGCTCAGGTCATGGTCTAGTGGTTTGTGGGTTCCAGCCCCACATCAGGCTCTGTGCTGACAGTTCAGAGCCTGGAGCTTGCTTCGAATTCTGCGTCTCCCTCTCTCTCTACCCCTCCCTCACTCATGCTCTTTCTCTCAAAAATAAACATTTAAAAAAATAATAAACTAAAATTAAAAGAAAAAATTTAAGGTAAGCATGATGGTGTAAGATGAAAAGCTTACCCAAAGTTTTCTTCATCCAAGAAAACAGAAAACCAAATTCTAGCCCCTATTTTAATGATAGTACTCCTTGAAGGAAGCACAGAAGACTTCGGTAAGTTCTATAGTGCAGGTTGGAAAAGAAAGCTCCTGGCAATGATCAGAAAGCAATCTTAAGGCTAAAGAAAAATGGGACCTGAATTTGAATCCAGAGGAAGAGACAGTCAATCAAGAAATCAAAAAAGAATAAAGATGTCTGAGGATACATGGTGAGAGGAACTCAATGGGTCTGGAGGTCTGAGGTATCCCTGATCCAGTGTGTTTGAGCTGAGGTCTGAAGGAGAAGCACGAGTTAAGCAGGTGCCTGGATATTTGGCTTGGTATGATCAAGAAGTTAGTGCTGCCCATAATGATCAGAGAGTGGCACGATGGGTCAGAGAGAGGCAGGGGCAAGGCCTTGTCAACCATGTTCAACTTTTCTATTTTTATCATTAAGGCATAAGAAGCTATAAAGGAGTGTGCTATAACCAGATTTGTGTGTTTAAAAGGATACTTTGAAGGGCACCTGGGTGGCTCAGTCGGTTAAGTGTCTAACTCTTGGTTTCTGCTCGGGTCATGATCTTGTGGTTCGTGAGTTTGTTTGAGCTCTGCATTGGGCTCTGTGTTGGCAGTGTGGAGTCTGTTTGGGATTCTCTCTCTTTCTCTCTCTGCCCCCACCCCTGTTAAAATAAATAAACATTTAAAAAAATAAATAAATAAAAGGATACTTTGATAGCCACGAGGAGAACCAAATTGGGGAAATACAGGGGGTGAGGGAGACCCAATCAGGATGCAAGAGATAATGGATTAGAGAGCTGGCAAGAAATTCAGCATCCAGTCTTGTCAGCTGTAACAGGGTATGAAGGGGGGCAGTGGGGAAGAGGAGAAGACAGGGTTGAGGAAGACTCCTAGGTTTCTGGTATTCTGAGTGAGGTCTGGCCAAAGGAAATCAGGATTGGCAGAAAGGCACGAGTATGGTTTCAACCCAATGAGTTTCAGGTATAACTGAGGCATTCAAATGGAGATAAACACTTGGAAATGTAGTCCCTAGCTCAGAGAAATTTAGGCTATAGACAAATGTTTAAAGATTATGTTTCTGATATAAATGTGTTGTATGATTTATGTACAGATCATGTAAACTCTGCAAGTGCAGGTACATTTTACACAGGCCTACAAATAGTTATTATTTTCTAAATCTGCAACAGTACGTTAATGGATTATGTGACCCTGAATGTGTTAATCAGGATTTTAATGGCACCTGGTTACAGAGAAGATTCAAAAGAACAATCCCAATAATTAAAAGGCAAATTATTTTAAATTGGGAGACCTGGACTCTCTAGCGAATAAAACTTAAAATCCTTTCTTCAGATTTCAACTTCATTATCACCACCACTTATCCCCCAAATTGGAAAACTTTCTCTGGAAACAAAATTAGTCTTTGGACTAACAGAAATGTAAAGAGCTGCAGTGCTCTTTCCTTGGCTGGAGATCAGCTTGCATTGAGTATTGTCAAAAGGCAGTGATATACCGACATGCGATAGATGATCATCCAATCCTTTTGTTTTGTGAAGGTAGTCTAATTAAAGCGTGACTGAAATTTCTCAAGCCGAGCTGTGATGCCAGCAAACAGAAAGCAAGAACACTGCTCAGGTCTCTGACTTGAAGTACTTTCTGGTCCAAGATGTCTTACAAGCCGCTGATACTTGAGCTAAAAGTATGGAGGTTCTGTGAGGTATTCACGTGTCCCCAAGGGATGAGGTTGAAACAACCAAACCAATTAGACTGTTATCCATTTGGAAGTAAATTCAACCCAAGCTACATCAAGAGCCAACATTTCCTCTTTTGAACTTTTTTCTTTTGATTTTTAAAAAAATTTTGTTAATGTTTTTTAATTTATTTTTGAGGCAGAGAGAGAGCATGAGCAGAGGAGGGGCAGAGAGAGAGG